CAACAGGCACCATGATTTGGGGGAAGGGGAGGGAAACAGGGAGACAGAAGCTAGGGACCCAGGGAAGGCAGAGATGCGAGGAGGCTGCCCAGAGATTTACTGTAAAAATGGCAAACCCCCATTCCCATCATGTCTTATAAAGTCTTAGGTCTTTCAGAGAACTCCAAAGCCTTACATCATTGCCTCAAAACAAGAATCTGCTTATGCGTGGTGCTGGTTCGTTCACTTCAGTCATGTCTGACTTTTGTGACCCCATGGACTGTAGTCCCCAGGCTCCTCCGGACATGGGATTTCCCAGACAAGAACACTGGAGTGGACTGCCATTCCCTTCTCCAGGGGATCTTCCCAACGCAGGGATCAAACCCGGGTCTCCTGCATTGCAGGCAGATTCTCTATCAGCCGAGCCACATGGAGGCCCATAGCCACCATTCTATCCTCACTGCAGAGTTCATCCTTGGGGGAAGAAGTTCATAAGGGCACACACAGCCTCATAAAAACTCTCCTTCAGAAAGTTCTTTTGGTTTGACCTCAAGATTGTTTCCTGTGCTTCTGAGGCTGTCTTCTGGAGATGGAAAGGAGTCCTGATCCCCAGACCTGAGAGAAACACTTTAATAGCTGAAAGAGACTACGGTCATATTTATTCTCTCCATCTTTCAAGCTGAGGACACTGAGTCCCTGAGAAGTCCAGGGTCTAGGTCACCCAGCTGGTTAAAGGGGGGCCGGGACGAGAACACAGGTCTCCTGGCCTGGCCTGAGGCCTGCTGGCGGTGCTGACCGCCACTTAGCTTCCTGCTCATCACCACCCACCGTCTCCGCCCTCCTGCGAAATGGGATCCTCAGGGCTGAGAGCTGGGAGGGGCCGTCAGGAACAAGGGCTGGTGGTGTGTGAGGTGACGCAGCAGGCATCTCAGCCAGCATCACCTCGACGCCCGTGAGACGAGAAGGTGGGACCTGTCTGAGGCCACCCTGTTGAGAGTGTCAGACCTCAGACACAATCCCATTATTAGACACAGATCCTCCATTTCCACCAGGATTCACTGGTGGCTCAGTCGGTAAAGAGATGGCCTGCAGTGCAGGAGAGCCGAGTTCGATCCCTGGGTCGGGAAGATCCCCTGGAGAAGGAAATGGCAACCCCCTCCAGTCTTCTTGCCTGGAAAAATCCCACGGATGGAGGAGCCTGCGGGGTCTACAGCCCACGGGGCCACAAAGAGTCGGACATGACTGAGCGACTTCCCCTCACTTCCTCCATCCCAGAAGGGGGGAAACAGAAGCTGCTAAGGCGGTCATACATCCAGTATCAGGGCAAACACTGACCCAGAACGCACGCCATCCGACTTCACTACCGTCGACTGTTCTCTCGCCACACATTCAACTGCTGCCTTTGCGAGGTCCAGGCTGTCTGAAAACTGCACTCGCCGCCGCTCGCCTCGGATGGCCCCCCTCCCTGGGCCTGGCCCCTGGCGAGACCCTCGGGGTACCGGCTGGCATGTGGCCTGTGGCTCTCCAAGCGGGAGGACTCCGAGCTCCACCTCCGATCCACCCCCCGCCCTGCTGCCCACTGACCCGGGCTCCGCCTGGCACAGCGACCTCCCGACTCGTGGCTCAGCTGATTCAAGACACACAGGGCGTAAGCCCAAACCCCTCCATGTCTGCTCCGTGCGACGGTTACTACCGAGCGGCTCTGCGGTGGGGCCGACTGACAGGCGCTGGGCAGCAGACCCCGGAGGTGAGACTGACGGAGGGTTACTCAGAAATAAGCTGCGGACGCTCGGTTTAGTCAGAGCAGATGCTCTCAGAGGCAACGTCAGATATGGTTTGGAGAGGTCATTATATTCCCTGAAGGCCACTTATCAGCCTCCAGCCCTTTCCTTTGGTCACGTTTGAATTCAATTTCGAAAAGCATCTCATTTGAGTGAAAGATATGAATCCCATGGACAGAGGAGCCTGGCAGGCTACACAGTCCATAGGGCTGCAAAGAGTCGGACGGGACTGAAGCGACCGAGCATTTAGCCCAGAGACGTGTCTCAGCATCATCTCGGTCCCACCGAGGTCTCACTGGTCACTGCTGTTGGCTCTTTCTGCTTTTCCACTTCATGGGGCTCCAAGAACCCAAGAAAGAATTTTTATGCAGTGTTATCAGCTTGCTCCTCAGCCATACTTAACATCTTCTGAAAATATTAATTTCATGTCAATGTGGCTCTATTTCAGGGGTCCCCAACCTCTGGGATCAATGCCTGATGATCTGAGGTGGAACTGGTGTAATCATAATAGAACTAAAGTACACAATAAATGCAATGTGCTTGAATCATCCCGAAACCAGCCCCACTCCCTCACCGCCGTCTATGGAAAAATTGTCTTCCATGATAATTGGTTCCTGGTGTCAAAAAAGGTGGGGGACCACAGATCTGTTTGATCCTTCTGACCATCCTTTTATGCACCTGCCTAGGAGACCATCCGGAGAAGGCAAATTTGAATTATTTGAATTTGTGTGGTGCCCATTTACCATTTTAAAGAAATAACTGTTTGTCTTATAAACAAAGAAAAACAGAAAGGAAAGGCAGAGAATTTATAGCCTCCAACCTGATGCTAAAGATTCCCTTGTTAGATTCCAAGCAACTTAAGCAGAGTGACCAAGTTCCACTTATTTTGATGTTTTTCCAGAACGTTGTTCCCAATAAATACATGATCAGCCATTTTTTTTCTTTTTTAGGGTTACAAGTTCCCATCTGGACCTGTTTATGCCTTGATCATGGGGGTTACATAAAGGAAGGTTAAAAAATTCAGAAATAAGCTGCGGACGCTCGGTTTAGTCAGAGCAGATGCTCTCAGAGGCAACGTCAGATATGGTTTGGAGAGGTCATTATATTCCCTGAAGGCCACTTATCAGCCTCCAGCCCTTTCCTTTGGTCACGTTTGAATTCAATTTCGAAAAGCATCTCATTTGAGTGAAAGATATGAATCCCATGGACAGAGGAGCCTGGCAGGCTACACAGTCCATAGGGCTGCAAAGAGTCGGACGGGACTGAAGCGACCGAGCATTTAGCCCAGAGACGTGTCTCAGCATCATCTCGGTCCCACCGAGGTCTCACTGGTCACTGCTGTTGGCTCTTTCTGCTTTTCCACTTCATGGGGCTCCAAGAACCCAAGAAAGAATTTTTATGCAGTGTTATCAGCTTGCTCCTCAGCCATACTTAACATCTTCTGAAAATATTAATTTCATGTCAATGTGGCTCTATTTCAGGGGTCCCCAACCTCTGGGATCAATGCCTGATGATCTGAGGTGGAACTGGTGTAATCATAATAGAACTAAAGTACACAATAAATGCAATGTGCTTGAATCATCCCGAAACCAGCCCCACTCCCTCACCGCCGTCTATGGAAAAATTGTCTTCCATGATAATTGGTTCCTGGTGTCAAAAAAGGTGGGGGACCACAGATCTGTTTGATCCTTCTGACCATCCTTTTATGCACCTGCCTAGGAGACCATCCGGAGAAGGCAAATTTGAATTATTTGAATTTGTGTGGTGCCCATTTACCATTTTAAAGAAATAACTGTTTGTCTTATAAACAAAGAAAAACAGAAAGGAAAGGCAGAGAATTTATAGCCTCCAACCTGATGCTAAAGATTCCCTTGTTAGATTCCAAGCAACTTAAGCAGAGTGACCAAGTTCCACTTATTTTGATGTTTTTCCAGAACGTTGTTCCCAATAAATACATGATCAGCCATTTTTTTTCTTTTTTAGGGTTACAAGTTCCCATCTGGACCTGTTTATGCCTTGATCATGGGGGTTACATAAAGGAAGGTTAAAAAAGAAAAGGTGGTTTCAAGAGGATGTGGTATGATTTGCCGACGATTAGCCTACGATTTGTGTCATCTCTTTTGAGAAGGAACTTTCCAGTTAGAGTTGCACCCCTACTTCCCTTACGCCATCAGGTACCCGTTAACCTCTGCCTCCCTCCCTGCCTCCCTTGTCCCCAATTCAGAATTCATAAATACAAACACGGAAGAGAGAAAGAGAACTCTGGGCCGGCTGAAACTGATGACAGACGCCTGGAGTCTTTGCAGAGTGTTTTGAGAGTAATGCCTGAGCAGGGAGGCACCTTGAGAAAGCTCTCTGGTCCCCCAGCACAGCATCCTTATCTAGCCTAAGTCAGTGTCCTCCACACCAAGACAGAGTCACAGTCCTTTCTGCTTCTTACAGCCTTGATCTTACCACATCAATGCCAAGACCACCGCCACTGCTGACCAATTGTTGACCCACTGACAATGAGTGGAAAAGCAGCCAGCTTTTCCTAAAGTGTAAGCTTTGCTTCCTGCATCTCCATTGCTTTGGTGAAACCCCGTCTCCCCTTCTCTTGTCCTTCACTATGGCTCTCCTTGCATTTGCCTTCTCTCTGCTCCTACATATTCAGATCAAATAAAACCCCGAGAGAATAACGCTGTATCCAGGCAGGTGGGGAACCGACTCAGGGGTTACCCAGCACAGGAGAGAGGTCCATTTCTCAGGGTTCTCCATCTCTGCAGGCAGAGTTGCAGCTCCTCAGAGCTGGCCAACTACTACCCTGTATCCCTCTAAGACTCAGGCCAAGATTTTTTTTTATCTCTTTCTGGGGCCCTATCTTGGGTCTATCTCTCCCAGGACTGAGTCCAGCCTGGAGGCCTGGATTATTTACACCACTTTGGCTCCCTTGAGCAGCAGACTCTGTGGGCCCGGGGCAGTAAATCTACCTTCTAATCACACCAAGCTGCTCCGAGCAGTCTGGCCCGTTTTTGCGGGGCTGTTCATCATGTGCTCAGACAGGGTCTATGGCCTGCAGAGAAGCTCCGGGAAGTGACTGGCCCCAGTGGCTTCTCCCTGACTCCCTACAAAAGCTTCCCGGGGCCTCTGAGCAGCAGGCCCAGGAGTCTCTCTTGTTCCGCTGAAAAGCTTTTGCACAAAGGTCATGGGTTATCTGCGCCCCCCGGGCTCTGGAAAGCAGGGGTGGGTGCCGGCACTTACCTGCCTCTCAGACATGATGTACAGGTAGCGCTGGTCGATGGAGAAGGCCATGTCCCGGAGGATGGGGCTCCCGTCTTTCAGCACGGAGACCATCTCATATTGGACCCCTCCGTGGGGGGGACCGTCGGCTCGAATCTGCGAAAGAAACAAGGATACCCTCAGCATCTGTACTCAGCAGTCCCTTCTGAATTCCCTGCCTGAGCCTAGAGCAGGTAGTTTAAAGAAGACAATGCTCACGTCCGGCCCCCAGGAGCTACCCTGAAGCAGGCTGGGTCACAGGGAAGACAGAGGTGCTTCTTAGTTCAAACAGCCCAGTTTCCACCAAGAGGAATCCTTTTCCAAGCAGTCTAAGCGTGCTGGTCTGAACCTTCTAATGGCGGGTTTATTTGTGTGTGCATACGTGTCTTTAGGTGCGATCTGAATGTCCTTATGTGGTTACTCTTGTGCGTGTATGGATGTGTTCACAGCACTGTGTGATGGGGGTGTGTGAGTGTGTTTGTGCACACTTGTTTGCGTTTGGGGTAGGAGAATCAACATCTACACACAGTGGTTCCACCTTGAGCAGGTAAGGGAGGATGGTGGGACCAGCACACAAACCATCAAAAAACTGGTCATCAAGAGATTCAAGATTTTAGGATCTCAGAAAGAGATTTCTGCCCCCGCACCCCCACCACAGCAATATCCCCTGGATGACGTGTGCAAATCCACCAGGTGGTTTTGGTGAGCCAGGAATCCCCAAGGACAGAAATCTGAGAGTCAGTCTCAGAGTCCATCCCAGGATAAGAAATCAGGAAGAGGTCATCTAGTCTGGGGCTTCTCAGGCTGGATGTACATTAGAATAATCCGGGGAGTTTTTAAAACACATGGCTGGGTCCACTCATCAGAAATTCTGTGCTTGGGGACCTGGCATCTTCTTTGGGTTTCAAAGCTCCCCGGGTGATGCTAATGAGCAGCCAGGGTTTAAAAGCACCAATGTCGCCCAAGGTTTTCAAACCAGCATGCCCTGAGAACCACCTGAAGGAAGTGGGAAATTCACCCCTGGGACTATCCCAGAGTTTCTGATTTAGCAGGAATGAGGCCTGAGAAATTTCATTTCTAATAAATTCCCAGCCGATGTGGATACTCCTGGGCTGGGGGTTGGAGAAACATCCCCTTAGTCTAAGCAATACATGAAGCATCTTGGTGGCTCAGGCGGTAATGAGTCTGCCTGCAATGCGGAAGACTGGGGTTCGATCCCTGGGTCAGGAAGATCCCCTGGAGAAGAAAATGGCAACCCACTTCAGTATTCTTGCCTGGAAAATCGCAAGGACGGAGGAGCCTGGAGGGCTACAGTCCATGGGGTCACAAAGAGTCGGACACGACTCAGCGACTAACACTCCAGTTCTACACAGAATTTGTAAAGCCGGTGGAGGAGGCCCCTGAGGACTGTCAGCTCATTCAGAAACAAGATGATGGGGAGTCCATGGTTTGAACGCACTCCTCCTGCTAGGCTTCCTGTTCCCAACACAGAAGCTGACTGTTGACCAATATTGCCAACCTGGACCGTTTCTTTGTTCTCAGTCCATCTAAACCCCCTAGTTCAAGCCCACTTCCCCCATAAAGCCTTCTCCAGTATCTCTACCACACTAATTGCTCCTCACCCTGAGGGCTTTCCCCCCCACCCCCAGACATTTTGTCCTGAGATTATAATCACTTGACTTGTTCATTGTATATGTATTAGCTAATTCGTATTGACTACCTACTTAAATTGTTCTCTGATTGCCTCACATGTGCATTAAGTCCACCACCATTTTGAAGGCTTTCTGTTTCTCCGAGGACCAGCCTCTGAGGACTAGAATGGAACTGGGAACAGAGCTGGTGATGGATAAAAGGGAATGCTTGAGAAATGCTTATTATGAAAGGACATGAACTATGATCCAGCTGATAAAGTATCGTGGGCTCTTTAGTGCTAAATCAAAGTTGAGGTCAAAAGACGGTTTTCTCTGGATGATTTTAAGATGAAGTCTCTCCCTCCTATTCGCTCTGATTTCTCTCTTGGACTTCTAACCATCTCCTTCCCTCTGCCCACGTCTCCCACCCCACTGAGAGCAAGGACTGTGACTGTTCATCGCAAGGGCTAAGCGTGGAGCCCGATGCCACAGGAAACATGCACGCATGGAGGAATGGATGCATTTTCAGTCTTTACTGGCCAAGTCGGGAAGCTCAGGAGCATTTGTTTACTGCAGACTTGGGAAAGTTGGACTAGTGCTTCTATTCAAATTTTTCCAGCCTCCTAAGAGCTTGTGTACTTGAGGGGCCTGAGCTAGGGTGTGGTCTGCGATTGTTGACTTGGGCTGGACTGGTGTGGGAAAGACCTGATCCCACTGTAGGGTGGGGCACAGTGGTTCTGGAGTTCCTAGTGGTGGGACCAGCAGATTCCTGCATGAGGCCCTGTGCCTATATCCCAGGGGTGAACACTGACGCAGGGCAAGACTTCTCCTTGCCTGCTTTGTGGGTGACTTTGGTGGGAGCTCTGGCCTTGAAGACGAGGAGGTGACCGCAGTGCAACCAAAGAAACTCTGCTCTTAGCCACTCTTACCCCAGAAACTCCCCTGCAGGATGAACTCTTCTTTTCCCCTAAGCTCCTCTTTTGACCTTTTTCTTCCTAACTAGTGGCTTCTTACTGTTCCAAGCTGTTGCCTTGGCAACTGTCGTTAAAGCCCCTCCTTCCAGGGAGGGGTGAGGGGGCTATTTAGTTCATTCTTATTGGGTGGAGGAAGACTCGGGGTCGGCAATGATGCGGTGGGGCCGAAGCTACTGCCCTCCACCCTGGAGCGAATCTCATGATGGATTCAAGCAGAGGGAAGAACAAGGGTCTCAGTCTGGGAAAACGCCCCACAATTAAAATAGCTCCCCTTAGCTTTCAGAGCAGCATTCTTTCTTAGATGGAGAAATCCAAAATTTCCAAGAGATTCTTCTAGAAACATAGTAGCTTTTAATTACAAAAGTTCTCAGGCAGGACTTCCCTGGTGGCCCAGTGATTAAGAATCTGCCTTGCAACACAGGGGACGTGGGTTCAATTCCTGGTCAGGGAACTGAGATACCACATGCCACGCAGCAACTAAGCCTGCGCTCCGGAGACCGCAAGCCACAACTGGAGAGAGTCCTTGAGTCTCAGCGAAAGATCCCCCGAGACACAATGAAGACCCTGAACGCCACAACTAAGACCGAATGGACTCAAATAAATACATTAATATTTTTTTAAAAAGACTGCTATAAAAAAAAAAAGTTCTCAGGCTACTGCAGGAGGTAGAGGGAGATGTGATAGTCATGACCTCTGATTGGCTTAACCTCAATATTCCATATCCATAAAATGGGAGAGTTCAAGCTCTGCTTTCTCCTTGGAAAAGGAAATGTCCCAGAGCTGCATACCATCCTCCCTATGACAGCTGCTCCTCTCTGAAGCTGTTTTAATTCTTCTCCAGGCACTGACTCAGCCCCAAGAGTTGCAGAAGCATCATCACACTTCAGGGCTGGCCAGCTCAGCATCTCCCCACCTGGGCAGGCTGGTTAACCCTCTGCCAGATAAATCAGCCTCCTCCCCAAGAGGCTGGGCACACATACTCAGAAGGAGGAATACCATGTCTGGCCCTCCCTCTCTGGGCCCTGGGACTAGATGGTACCCATGGCCAGGCTGGAGCGGAATCTTACCAAAGATAGTTTATCATCATACTCTAGTACATCCCAGTTAGGATTAATCCCAGTCATTAACTTTTTTTTTTCTGAATGAAGCCTAAACGTTTTTTTTTTTTCCTGTCTACAATCCGAATCTTTCAATAAACCAGTTGAAGCCAGAATCAAACCTACAGAACTCTGAAAACATCAGAGCTGAAACTAAACCAGAACAGAAAATGTTCTTGATACTGAACCTGAACTGAACTGTCCTATGTCATTCCCTCTAAATCCCTGGAGATGGGAGCAGTCCTGCCAGAGAAGTCCGTGCTATCCGCCTTGAGCTGGTGCAGCCTCTGAGATCCCGATGAGAAGACAGAGAGGATGGAGAAGGGGGCCAGGGGGCTGGGGTCCCAAGGATGAGGTGCGGCGGGACTGGCAGGCTGAAGGCAGGACGGGCCAGCTGGGCGGCAGAGACCGCTCCCTTCTCTGATTCCTCTCTCTCCCTGCGGGCAGCACACCGAAGTGTGACTCCAGGTCCCGGGGTTTCTGCTCTGACTGTGTTCTTGCTCTTGTCTGGGCTTGATTTCTGCCTGACGTTCACTTTCAGGTCAGTTGCCTCACCTCCCCGAGCCTCAGTCTCCCTCTCTGAATAGGGAGAATCACAGACTCAGGAAAACTGCCGGAGCTATGGGGCTTTGGAGCCCATCTCATCCAAGCCCTTTTGCTCGGGGACGTAGATGGTCAGAGCTGGCCCTGGGGCTCTCACTGGCTCCATCTGGGTTGGTCCAGAGGAGAACACGGCTGATGGAGCACACCCTGGGACTGAGGAGGGACAAGTGTGGCCCTGCTGTAATTCAAGCCCAGGGGTCCCCGTCTTTCCCTGCCTTGGAAATTTTCAGTTTCGACGTTGCTCTCCATCCTCGCCAGACACAGGATGGTGGCGGTGGGACTGCGGCAGAAACCCAGACAAAAGTGCATTTTAAAATGCAACAGCTTGCGTCTGTCCTGCAGTGTCCACAAAGTGAATTCTCTTCAGCTTTGAAGCTTGCACCCCAGGGCCAGGATTCAATGACCAACAAGACGCTGACATAGGCCATGAATCCAATCCCAGAGAAGGGCGTTATCAGATTGGGCCGCACAGGCCCCAGCCAGGTAATCCAACCAGGCAGAGGAGGAGCGTGGAGACGTGAGGGCAGGGAGGGGATGCAGGCCAGGCGGGGAAAGCTGGTCACTGCAACCTGTCTTTCTGGTCGGGCTCCTCTCCTGGGAGGGCAGGACCTCAGCGGACACGCAGAGTTAGCGGTTGTCATTTTGCTTGGACATCACTCAGAAGATGGGACAAGATGGACAGTGTCCTACAATGGAGGGCGACAGTCTCTACAGAGACCAGCAAAGGAAAAAAAAATGTGTCTTAACCACTGCATAAGGAGGTGGAGGCTAGGTCTAGTCAGAATTCCTGTTGAGAGGAGCCCCGCTGCACA